GGCCAAACAGCGCCCATCTTTATCACAGCGATCTGAGGATGAGACGGACACGGATTGAGAGCGACTAAATGATGACACTGAAGGAAAGTTGTGCCTACTGAGTTATAAAGGCATTAGAGAGGTGAAGGAGTGACCGGGGGGGGGATGGAGGTTATGGTAATGAGAAGGTAGGAAGGTATCCGCCGTGTTTTTTTTTCATAAAGCAGAACTCCCCCCCCTCCCTTCCATCTTCCATCTCCATGGTGACGTGTATGTGTGTGCGAGGGGGCAGACGTAGAGGATAGAGAAAGCCAAACTGGGAAAGAAATAAATATAGTCGGTGGATGAGAGCAGAATGGTCAATTTCCCAAAGGTAGAGGTGTTAAATTAGGGATTTTTTTCTCAGTCCCAGCTCTTACTTCAGCTTATGACACACACACACACACACACACACCAAGATATGTACATGCTGAAGTCACTTCTTTACCGCTGCAAAAGACCAAAAGGCTCGCCCTCATATCAGCAATACGTAGGCTGCCCATTAATTTTACTGTTACGCCGCGTGTCAGCGTGATTAAATGCAGGGGTGGACGGTGCATAAATCAAGTGGAAACTCAAAATTCATTAATTGAGTCTTGGTCTACATCCTGGTTTTGCATGGTGAGCTGCTGACTAACCAAACCTCAACAAAAACAAGTCTTACAGTTACCATAGATCATCCATCTACATTTCCAAATGCTGAAAGCAGTTCAAATGAACATGACGTCTGTGCTGCATTTGAAGCTGAACCCAGTGTATGAGAATAGATCTGTCATATCTCCATCCGGGAAATGCACCAAGTATGTGTGTGCACGTGTGCGTGTGTTGATACGGAGATGGGCAGACAACAAGAAATGGAGAATGATGAGGCAGCCAAAGGTAATTGGAATCTGAAATAGGAACATCTGTTCATCCAGTGCAGATACTACAGTAGATAATGTTAGGGGTGTGAAGTGTAAGTGTGGTCACATGTGCTTGGACGTGTGTGTATCTGCAGGGCAATTTTAATTTGTCACATCCAGGCCTACTCTATACATCCCTCTATACACAGTCAAAGATAACAAAACATTTCAAGATGCTCTAAAATATTCCTTCTCATCACATCCTCTTTTTTTGAATCTGTCCTCATCTCTAACTTCCTCCTCTGTCTTTCTAACGTTTTAAGGAGTGAACAGTCTTGGCTGAATTACCTCCGTACAGGGACACATTTGTCTTAATGCATTGTTGAAGCCAGGTCCTGAGGAGGAAGCAGATGATTCTGTTAATCACCTCTGAAACAAATACTCCCCCATTTCAACACACTCACACATGCACAATCACACAGCAAACAAACACCAATCAATACACACACACACGCACAGTATCATGCTGGTTTAAATCCAGCTGCTGTTTGCCTGTTCCTGCTGTACTGCAGAATCTGTTTGTTGGCCCTGTTCTGTTCTCTTCTCTATGTGTGTGGGTGTGCAGCTGCTGAGCTGCCGGCGGAGGCGGAGGCCGACGCTAATGACTCCGTCCGTGGAGCGAGCACCTGTGGGAATGGCCGACCTCAAAAGATCTGCAGAGGATCATGAGCCTGGAACCCGCAGCGCGTCGAATAGACTCACAGCTCTGCCTATTAGAGGGTGTGGGGCTCTCCGGGTTTGGCCTTCCGCAAACCGTGTCCGTGTGAAATTGTAATTGCGCCGGCTTAACAAGATTTGTTGTAACTTGTTTAGGTGCCAGTTGCCAGTGATGAGACAGCACAGCACACTGACAACAATGTTTGCAGAACCATGCAAAAGGTGTTCTATGGCCTTTTTGTAGAGGTCATAGAATACATAGAATACATAGAATAAAAACCTTTTTTTCAGTGGCAGATCTGCCGATAGGCAACATTAAGCTAAAGTGTAATGTTAAACCTGCAGCAGACAATGTTTCAAGCCAATCGCGTTCAGCAGAAAAACTTTTAAGTTTATCCTGTAAACTTGTCGGGAAAGTGTTGCTTATTTATAAATATTAATAAAGCATTCATTTGAAGTCAATGTAAGTCCAAATGCACTTGTCTTTTACTTTCGGTCTCTACCAACGTCTGAGGGACATATCTGGCTCATAAGCTGTCAGATGTTCAATTTTTCAGAGCCTGCTAGTGACGGTACTACACCTGAACAATTCAGCGATGTCCAAGGGATCAATAAGGCTTCTAGGTAAGTTTTTGGACATGGGATATTGATAAAGAAGGAACTTAAACAATACCACATTTTGGACAATATCTATTTATCATCATACAGATACACTTTAGATTAGATGTATCAGACTTACGACTGCCGTGTCCTTGAAGCAACTTCCCAACCATCTTGCTGAATCCATTCCTCAAACCAAACTCTATCTCTGTTTGTCTGTATTGCCCTTTTTATATCCCTCTTTCATCATCATATTGCTGCTGCTCTCTTTCCCTCTCTTACCTCACCACCACGGTGTATCTGCCGTTCTCTCTTATTTAGTAAGGGCGGTTGGTTCTGGAGGTTTTGTGTTGAATAATACATGTCAGTTAGAGCGGAGCCGAGCAGGCCGACATGGATGAAGGAGAGACTATTGAGCTGGATGTCGACTTCTAACAGCGTGTGAATATGGAGCATTTATTATGATGAGATATGAGCTGGAAGGTTAGTTACAGGGTGCAAATATGATATTCAATTAATCTATTACATGGACGAGTGAAGAAAGAAGAGCACCAGCACGTTCCTCGTTAGATGCTCGTGTTTGCTTGTGTGCAAAGGCCACGTCCATCAACACGCTATGGTGTTAGTGGTTAGTGACCTGACATATGAAGGAACACAGCGTGTGTGTGTGTGTGTGTGTGCAGGTGTGTTTGTGTACGTGTGTTTGTGCGCACTCCTGCACGTTCAGATCTGACAGATAACAGGGGTCACTCCTGCCCTGTAGCCCACTGACCTCATCAGACAGTGTTGAATTATGGGTAGTGACACTGTGGTCTCACAGCCGTCTGTCTGCTCAGGGCGCAGCGATAGCGAGTCATCTCTCAGCCACACACACAAGCACTTGAAAAGCCGCTGGACTGTGGGGTAGCTGACATTTAGCACTGGGGGAAAAAAAGTAGCTTGGAAAACAAAGGAGCTGCAGCCATGATGGTATCAAACACGCCAGCGGGCATCATAAAGAACACGGCGGGGATGCTAACAATGACCTAAACTCTGATGGCATCCAGGATTGGATCAGATACACACCTCTCTGGATGATGTTTTTATTTTATTTTTAACACAAATCCTAACCCGAGCAAATGCAGTTAGTTTATAAAGAGCTCATCGTCCTTAAAAAATGTCTTGTACTCATCTGACTAACAGCGTCTTTCTTTGTCTGTATTTTAATCATGTTTGTATATTATTTCATCAACGTTTTATACAGGCTATTTAGTGATGCATCGTCATTTTACATGTTGTATAAGTTTCCCCCCTAAAAAGATGGATGCCAGAAGCAACGGTCCTACTTTAATGGGGATAAAAAAGCAAGTGGCTGGATTTGTTTAAAAATAACTTCTGTACCAGAGGGCGCGCTCGGGGCTCAAGCAGGTCACGCCATAACCTAACTACGCGTTAAAGGCCCAGTCTGTCAGAGTGAATTACACAAAAAGCCCTGCCCCGAAACCAGACAGATTAAACAGTGTGGTACACACAATGCATCCAGCACAAATACTACTAATATTTGCTACTATGGCATGTAACATTCTGAATATTTGATAAGACACCAGGGCAGGCTTAACAATTTAGCGACAGGCCTTTTTCATGACTCCACTCACGTCGTCTGCCTGGAAGCGAACGCGAGGACGGGCTGCGTTTTGCAAGTGATGAATGTAATCTGCCTAGAATGTCTCCAACGGCGGTTTAAATCTGACATCGCTGTCTTTGACTGACGTGCGCTGGGACTTTTAGTCCCATCCACTTTGCATTAGTAAGGAGGATTTGAAGCTGTAGTATATCAGTCCCACAATGTATTGATCTTCTGCATGACTGTAGGCAAACTACACTGTCAGGTTGGATGATAACACTTTAATTGAAACAGTAAAGAGCAAAGTGCGGTTCACCCAAAAGAAAACAGACTGTATGCGCTCTTATGGTCATTTAGAACTAATTGTTTAGAACTAACTGTTATTCTCGTTTTTATTTGCAACAAACAGTTAACCTCTATTGTTCCCTCTCATGTAAAATGTTTGTAAAAATTCCATCCACCTGACCTGATCTATTTGGCACAATCCTTTTTTTCTACCAAACAAAATGCTTTTATATGTAAAAAATTCAGCGTGATTATACATCAATTACTGACTCCTATATTTGAGGTGTTGATCCTTGTGTGAATCAAGGAGGCCGGCCCGGAACAACGGCGCCCGGTCCACTCGGTGTCCCGTCGGTCGACAGGCACCGGGATACAAACCGGATGCAAAACAAACCGCGTCGGCGGTCACGTGTCGGGCAGCGGGCTCCTGAATGATTTAAAGCTTTTTACATCATCAGCCTCACCCTCCCTGCCCTCCTCCCTCCTCCCCCCCACCCCATCTCTTGGGGGTGTTTTCGTAGAGCACGGCCCACCCCGAGAAATGCTGTGATGGTCACCCTTTTACCCCGCTCAAATTCTTTTTTTGGGGGCGGACCCAAAGAAAGGATTTTTCCCTTTGTTTTCCTTTCCCGGTACCCCCCCCACCTCGGAAAAAAGGTTGCCCCGCCCCCCCCCCCCCACCTCATTCCTACTCCCCCTTTTTGTTGTCTTTCTTTGTGTAGTTTATTTTTTCATGAGCAATGGCGCAGAACACGGCGTCCAAACCGCGCGTCCTCGTAGAGGTGATGTTGTCGCGCGGGTGGACGCAGATGTCGGGTTGGAAGAAAGGGGAGGTGTGTGTGTGTGTGTGTGTGTGTGTGTGGGGGGGGGGGTCTATTCCTGTTTGCGCAGCTCACCTTAACGGTGCGCGTCTCCGTGCGATGAAGAGTAGGGTAGAGAGAGAGAGAGAGAGAGAGAGAGTTTAGGGCGGGTGTCGCTGCTCCCACCGGACCCCAGAGCTGCAGCGGGCGACGCGTGCACGCAGGAGACAGAGGACAGGAGGAGACGGAGAGGGCGATGGGACGTTTCACTGAAGGGTTCTCGCAGGTGAGCGAGCGTGTGCAGTGATCGCGTGTGTGGGTTGCGCTAAGGCGTGTCAGAGGGGAGAGGAACAAAGATGGTGAAACTTATTATTTCGCCGTGGGAAGGGAGAAGGGAAAATAAAGGCGGAGGTGGTGGAGAAGTACTTTCTTTGGTTGTCCGTCCTCGTGATGCTCTAAACGTGACACACAAAGGATCAAGTAGGCTGACAGAAGCTGTTCAGCAAAGGCTGAATTTGTACGTGGTGAAAGATTTTAAAAACAAATCACAGTCTGACTGCCTCTTTGTTGTGCCACGCATTGCCATTTCTGCCCCTCTATCGCCCCTGTGCGTGTGTGTGTGCGCGTGTGTGTGTGTGTGTGTGTGTGTGTGTGTGTGTGTGTGTGTGTGTGTGTGTGAGGACCAGAGCACTCACACACTGAAAGCCTCAAGCTGTGGATCTGGGCTAATCCCTAATGACATGGCCATCTCTCTCTCTCTCTCTCTCTCTCTCTCTCTCTCTCTCTCTCTCTCTCTCTCTCTTCCTCCCTTTTTTCTCTCTCTTGTCCATGAGGTCTTCTTTCTCTCTCTCCCCCCGTCCTCAAGTCTCTTTTCCCCTCATACTCAGTTGCGATGACGTGCGGCCCGTGGTGCTGAAAACAGTCCTCGTCAGAGCGAATGCGCTCAGGCTCCACGGCCCCGTCATCGCTCAACAGGTGCCTTCGATGAGAGACACACGGAAATAAAGGAAGCGGCTTTTAGATGGAGGCTCGTGTTTGCTTTGCATTGCTGGGTTTTCTGTTTGAACATGGCGTATCCTGGGAGTTGTCATCACAGAACAGCTTGAAATTAACGAACTATAATCCAGTATGACATTTAAAGGGAGACATCATGAAAGTGTCTAACACACAGTTTCTGGCAATCACGAAATATGTAATTCAACAGGCCATGATAAGGCTTCCTATGTGACATGAAGGCTCATTGGTCTATTTATTATTGTAAAAAAAAGGCATGTGCTATTTCAAACAATAGTATGTTTACACATCCAGCTGCAACATTTTCATTTATTTGGAGTTGTTCTTGTGTCAGCCGTATGCCTTTCCAGCAAATATACGCTCTCCTTTATCTCGGTTTTTAGGTCTCTATCTATCTGTTTTGCTGTTAAATGCTCCACTATGTTACCTCGCTTACTGTGTGGCTCCCGTTTGGTGCTGAACAGTCTGCACAGCTTCCGCGTCGGGGCCAGAAAAGGAAAAAGGACGCTATAAGAGCTGGGGGGGTAAGTTTTGTTGGCCGGGCAGCTGAAGAATAAACTGAAACTCACTATAGAAGCTGAGAGCAGATGCTGATTTTGGAGCTAATCAGATAATGCAAACCCTAATCACAGTGACTAATTGTTTGTACGTTGCAAAGTCATAGAACGTTACACACTATCCATTATAGTCTCGTTGGATTGGAGTACCTGTGTACTGTTCAGCGCTATTGGTCGCTCATTCATCTTTATTAGCGAGAATGCACGCTGAGCAAATCGGTGTGTGTTTGTGTGTGTGATACCAGAGAAATAACAGATAAAAATAATAATGCCTCTTTTGTTCATTTTTGTATGGCTGTTTGGAAGAATCCAGCATGATTGACTTCTTTATGGCCGATGAATACTGAATAAATGCACAAACACAGATACACACACAGCCTTATGAATGGCCGGCTGGGCCCCTCTGCTCTTCCTCCACATACTGCTCAGCACTGACGTCAGTGAACCTGCCTGCGCATAAAGGCTAATATAATCACTACCTCACACACACACACACACATATTGCTTCCTTTTGTTTGTCTCTGTCAGCATCACACACACACACACCTTTGGTTATTGGCTCAATAGGAACTAAAGGCTAAAGAAAATAGGAGAGACAAACAACAGAGACGGATATCTAGAGAGACAGAAGGAGACTGCAGGGCTGGCGTGTGGGAGGTAGACGGCCTTGATCATTATCATTACCATGTAATCCAATCGCTGCTATAAATTTGTACCTCTGGTTTTTTCACGACAGCTTCGCTATCAGGTTGTCTCCTTTTTTGCCTCAATAATAATATATTAATATATTGATAGTCGGGGTCAAACCGATGCCATCATATTTTCTGAACAGCAGCGTCAAGGACAATAAAGAAAGAAAACAATGGTTCTGAAGACCAGCTGCTTATTATTCTACTGTATTCGCCGAATGGTCTGCACTAATTACTTTTCAATGGTCGTCAATATACAAATAATCCTGTTTAATTGACAAACACTGTCCATCATTTTGTACAAAGTAGTTCCAGTGGTAAGACTGAGAGAAATTCATGGCATGTCTCTGAGGCTTTGTCCAAATAGTCCCACTCATTTTTTACTTACTCATTTCAGTGTTACCTTCCACTAAAAAAACGACAGCTACAGTTGGGAAACCAACCAGATATGAGCCTCTCGGTAATCGCTGTGGGTAGAAGCGGATGTAAAGGTCTGACAGGAAGCAAGTAAACCGCTTATAAAACCGGCATAAGGAAATTAAAACCCATAAATGGTTAACAATGGGACAGCAGAAGATACAATTACACTGGTATTATCCTTCCTTTTGAGTGGATTGTGAAACTTGATCACTATATAAAAGCTCATAAAACCAAGCCTGTAATTTCACTAAGACACAATACATTTGTTTGTAATATATGCATGTTTTTTAACTAATGGAGCATCTTATAGAATGCTATTATGGTCTGATTATGGTCAAAAACAAGGTGGCACCCTATTGCTCTTATTAATCAATCAATTGTTGGATTGGAGGAAGCGTAGGCACAACACTGGATATTCTCCATTGTGTTGCCACGATACAGCTCCTGAGAAGGGACAAAGGACATGTAAAATAGACAGTGGGAGCGTGAGCGGGAGGAAATGCACGGGAGGATCTAGAGAGGCGTGCAGGTGAAGGCGGAATCGGTGACACAGATGAAGGACCAACAAGTCTGCGGGACCTTTTGGTCACAGTGAGCCGTCCACACAACTGGGGCTACACGCTCTGGCAAAGGGTGGAGGCAATAACACCGGGAGGAACTAAGGAGACGCCCAAGAGGAAGTGCCAAGGTTGTCGGGTGAGACTGCAGACAGTTACACACCGTGTGTGACTACAATGGTCAGTGTCGGGAGTCATGCAAACTGTGTGTTTTGTGTTATGTTAACTGAACCACGAGCAGTTTCAAAGCAGTTTGCCTAATCTGCCACAAACTGTCTTTTATTGCTGGGACGTCTCTCAGCAGATGGAGTAATACTGCCCTGCTTTAAGGTAACTACCACCGCGCTGTGCGGTACGTATGTGTGATTGTCCCACGTGTGGGTCCACGGCAGAAGCATTTTTCTCCTGTCTATATGAACCCAGATGACAGATGGCTGCTGATACCTCTGGCATAAAGCAAAGGGCTGTTGAATAAAAGGCCCTCTCACATAGTGTGGAAGGACAACACCGGCTGGCAGAAAGGATGGGGATTATCAAACAGAGACATCATCAACAAGGCCGGTTAGCCAGCGAGCCAAAAGGACTGGTGCCTTTTGATTTTATTTACCTTGTAGTTTGGAGCCAGACCCCTGCTTCACGCTTCAGGCTCCCACTGTGCTGCATTGGGGCAAGATGGATGAGGATGAGGGCGGCCAAATTGCGAGTGAACCGGGGAGCAATTTGTGTGTAGTCTGGCAGCAGCAACACACGGAGAGTTATAATAATTCTTCTTTTTTCTTTTCACATCTCTCATTGGGATGCTGCTAATAGGTACACACCGACGTGTTTAGTGGTCAACATTTGAAGTGAATCAGTCCTCTGCGAGCCAGACTGTGAGCCAGATATGATGAGAGTAAACTGGTCAGACAGCCAACGGAGCGAAGCAGGGGGACGTCATGTTTATATTTGTCTAGTAGCAGTTCAAATAGGGCCGATCAACGCACCCAAATGATTTGGCATGACGTGCGCTGGAAAGTATCAGTGCCCGGCCCATTTGTTTATTCCAAATGTAGATTTTCTTGGAGCAATTGATGTTTTTTATCTTAATTTATTGGCACATTGTAGTTGCTGTTTTGATGAGTGAGTCTAGTGTTCCATTTACTTACTGGGACCATTATGCTCATTTTCAGTTTCATACTTGTTTGGATTTCTACTTAAATATATGTTAATGCTTTATTGTTAAGCCGACTTTTTTGCAATATAGATGCATCTGTCTCTGCCAGAAAGCCTCTGTTTTAGCAACTGCCTCTTTAAGCCCCGTCCCAAAGCCCAGCCCGCTCTGTTTGCATGAGAAGGATGCAGCACCCTTTGCAAAGGTAATCCTCAGGCCTTGGGCGGTGTATTCTAATGAGCCCTGATGTGCCAAAGGAAGGGGAGCCCATTCTCCGTGGCTTGTTTTATGATCTGCACTGCTCACAAAAAGCGGACTGGGTTGTAATAACTGTTCAGGTTGGCAGGTATATAAACTTTGTGACAAACAAAATACACCAAATGATCAACTTACATATTAATGAGATATATGCTAATTATAGTGCCTTAGGCCATAGCTTTACAACTTTCTCGGTTTGCTTTTTGACCGATTTCTGCATGATCTCAACAAAGTAGAGCTGCTTTTCTTGTGTCCTTCCACATGTCTGAAAGAGGAGTGGCAGAAATTTACATTAGTAACTCATGGTAGGATTAGAGGCTCATGTCACTTTTAAAATTTGCTTGTGGAATATCTGTCTTCAAAGAGAGCTGGGCTACTGATTTCTTTTATATCTTTTAATTAATGAGCCAATATGGGGTGGGCGTCGTGTAATTACTGAAATCCCTTTTCTAGTTTGACACCAGTAAATTAATCTTTCAAATAATCTTTCACTAAATTACAGAGGCAAGTTGTGCAGCCATCTGAGTGAAACTGATGCGAACATCACAGTTCTTATTAAATATTCAGTCTCGGGACAGCGGTAGTTTCATGTGTGACTCACGAGTCGGGCAATGAAATCAACCTGGCAGGAGGCAATTTCTCTTTTGTGTCGAATGAGGAATGATTCATTAGGTTTGTCAGGTGGGGATTCTGTGGCCAGTCAGCCAAGGCACCAAGTCAGCCTGACAGCCTCCTAAATCAGTCAAGCAGATTGAAATACACGTTGGACTCCACATCTCCTCTATGCAACCAGCCAATTACCGCCGATACCTGTAAGACTCCCCAGCTGGATTATGTAGTTTCACGGTTTTCTGTATTATTAATGTGCACACAGGACAGAATGACATTTAAATATTTGTGTACAGAGTCATGACTCACCAAGTTATGATGTTTCTTTTATATTAACTCAATAACGATGTCACGCCCATGACCTTAAAGAACACAATGATAAAAAAAAAGACTCTTTCACGCAGGACCAGAACACATTTTACGTTAAAGCGTAATGAAATGGATGGGATTAGATATTCTATTGACCGGATGAATTGATAGCAATGCATTGTCATGTTGTGGCTATTAGACTGTAGCCACGTGGTGCTCTGAGCACCGCTGTGTTGCATTTTGACAGAGGCCGGCCTGATAAATCTAAACACTGAGGTGCACTGAAGTAAAGCACACTCACATGAATTATGCACAGTAACTTTTTATTTTTCACACCGTCCACCAGCTTGGATGTTCTTTGTCGGCTAACACGCTCATATAATTTTGTCGACTGATCGTTTAATTTTATTAACCAATCAAAAACATTTTTCCTCAAAGAATCCCACCCAAGTTTCTTGGAATAAGGTAACACACACTAATTGAATAAATAAATCATAAACTTTAGACCAAAATGACTGATTTCTTAAGTAATCAACTAAATGGGGGCTTTCATCTTGTTCTTCCAGTTAGACAGAAAAACACACACGATCATGTAGTTTTTTACACTCTGACTCACTGTGGGATAAAATGCTGACACTAAGCTGGTCAAATATTCCATCTAAACTTTTGCAAAAAACAACTCAAAGTAACACAAAGAGAATAACAAATCAAGTGACTGAATAAGAAAGATTTCCCTGACTCAGGCTTTCTGCCGAACGATGATGAGTCGGCTCCTTCCTGTTCCGTCTCTGGGTCATCAGATCTTGGGCCGGGGCCACTGGCCAGATTTGATTTTTTTTATAGAGGTCGGGGCAACGCAAGCCTGTTGCCAGGTTGGTTTGGAGCGGATCAGGAAGTCACTCAGCCCCATGAAGCCAAACTCTTACTGTAAAAGTAATGAGAGCTCAATGAGGTTATTCATCTATTAATTAAAACGCGGGCAGGGGGCTTAGTCATGGCTGATTAGAAACACGGGATGGCGGATTCTGACAGCTCTATTTGGAGAGGAACCACCAAAACAAAGATGCTGGGGGGGGGGAGGGGGGAGGGAAACAAGAAAGGTCTTGTTTGGAATTCTATTACACTGTTTGCCGCTATGAGACAGACACAAAAGCAGCTCACATGCTGATGTGACATTTTCCAAATCTTTCTCCACTCAAAGCATCATATTGTTTTGTTCACATCGGATATATTCTTAGTCATTACATCCGATGGCTCTTTTTCTGGTAATGAAAGGCCTATAGCAAAATGAGTGATTCCTTCGCTTGATGTTCGAATATAAAATTCATTGCCCTCGCCCACACAATATTAAATAATTCAGTAGTTGAAGGTGCCACTGGCACTAGTCTGTGCTCCATAGGAAATCTCACAAGCGCTGTGCACCATGCAGATGTTTCCATTGCATAAGTAGTACCTGCCAGTGAATGTACTGCGTTTCTAGCACTAGAATGGCTTGAATGACTGAATCTGTCAGAGTGCATTTAGAGATGTTCCAACACCATTTTGTCTTCCTCCCTGACAGCAATTCTAATACTAGTAGATACAAAAAAATAAAAAAGACATGGAGTAAGAGGCAGAGAATGAATGCCAAAGGAGATGCCCCAATCATGGGCAATATCAATGGTTTTTGTTGTTGTTTTGGCTGCTGGTAAACGATGCTCTAGACTAACCTTTTAAACCAACACCCAGAACATTCATTTTGTTATTGTCATCTGTTAAAAACACACAACTCAGATGAGGTGCAAGGCACAGGAAAATGTTCAAATGAAATAGTTCCCACTTTGGTGAACTTAGATTTTAGGTTTATTTGATTAAGTTCAGGCCACATAAATACTTTATTAGTAAGTATGTGGTGTTAGTTACGCATTCAAGTTACATAACAAGGTACAAGGTAACAAGGTAACAAGGTATGGTCAAATAACTCTTGGTTTTATAGACCGTGGTCAGCCCTGCGCTTGGCCCCAACTCTTGCCCAATGTCGGCTGGGATTGACTCCGGCGACCTTCTAGGGTTCAGCAGTATAGAAGTTGTCAGACTGAATGACAACCGCTGTGTATACCTGTCTGTGTGTTTTTGCTTGACTGTAATACTTGACTGTAAAACTCCTGGTGGAGATGAGGAGGTTGGCATTGGTTCAATGTGCTGCAGCTCCTGATGACTGTAATATTGTCAGCTTAATACAAACTAGCCTGCGGCCTTAAAGCCAGTTAGTCGATCATATGGATGCCGACTCGACTAAGGTCCTTTATAATAACTACACTTACAGTAAAACACAATATTTTTTGGGGGGGGATTTATTTAAAATTGATCACATTTTTCTTTTTTCTTTATCATTTTACTGTAACAAAAACCCTATTAAACTGTTTTGAAATGTCAGATTGGCCAGTGTTCTGTAAACACTCTCATACAACCCTTTTACCCGGAGGAGGACTGTCAGTAAAATGTGGTTTTCCGGTGAGATGGAACATCTGCCTCTTTTTTGTTGATCTGTGACTGTTCAAACAGCACAGAGCAGGTGGTGGTCACTGTCAATGAAACTAAAGGGAGAGAATTAGAAAATGTCACATGCGTATTGAAAAACAAGTTGCTTGCGTGATTTGATTTGTGATATGGAACGCTGAGGAATCTCTGTGCGTGCAGTACTCATCACAGATCTCATAAACGTAGCAATCTAAAAACAGGGAGCGGTTTGCTGCCACTTATTTAAAACGAGTTTGCTTAGTGTGATTGGATACGTGCGAAGTTATTAGTGTCTCCAATTAAACGTTTTTTTCTGGACACACACACACACGCACAGACATACTCAGAATGTACTTGGTGTTTGTCTGTAAAGACTTGCTGAAAAATACAAAAACAAAAATTCAATGTGTGTATTGACTAGTGCGCTGTAGCAAAGCATGAAGTACTTGTGCTGTGACACGGCTGAGCGCAGACTGCGATATTCCCACTGCTGCTGCTACGACTGTTTGAAATGGTCCCGATGCCAATACTTGTAATGTCGCGAGGATGGAATGTGAACGCTGAGTCGGAGATGCAACGTCGTCTTTGATGTCTTCCAGTAACTGTAATATTGCACGGCTGCTTCATCTGAAACGCGTATTGATTTCGTGTTCGCCGTCATTTCACCAGGAGACACGTGAGGAAACCCGCATTCTGGTTTCGCCAAAGGGCCCTTTGTCTGCAAGTCAAGCCAGGAAACGCGCAGGTAGAGTCGGAACCCCAACGATGGCTTCATTCCATTTGGGCGCCTCCGGCTATCGCGCTCGCTCGCTCACTTCTTTGCTGATTTGTGAATTTCATTTCTCGATGATACAGGACTGTGAGTTGGCCTCGTGACAGGTTAATAGCCCCACTGCTCCACCTCACACTCACCATCACACACAAATTAAATCACCTTGTGAGCTTTTCCTACTTCTGCACACACTCCAACTCCCACTAAGTGCTGCGACAACAGCGGCCCGCGGCCCAGTCTGGTTAAACAGCTGCGTAATTGCAGCCATCATTTGAGTGTCTCATATTATGGCTGAGAGGCAAAGTGAGTGAGCCGTATGCGAGTGTGTGTTTGTTCAGCAATTTGCGCTATTTGTTCAAAGTGGATGAACGCTGAGTGTTAGTTCACTGCTGTTGAGAGAGAACAAGAGAGAGGTGGACTGAGCTCCAATTGATCACTATAATAGCTCCCCTTTTAACAACAGTTTTATGTACGACATTGGAGACACTGTTTAAAAGTGTAAAAAGGCCTCTGCTGTTTGATGGTGTTGAATTGTTAAAACATTTTTTAACTGTGCAAAACATATTCATATTTGAATTGCTTCAACACACTGCTGCCTCTTAAACCAAAATGATTTAGCCTCTTTTGTCATCAGTGAGGACATTGGCTACTATAGCAACAGGGCTACAGGGAGAGGACTGATAATTAGCTGCTTCCTCACTCAGGTGTGCTTCATTTTTGCACAAACGTGTAATGCAACTCCACCGCTGGGCTCCTGTGTCTCGGCATGTAGGAAAGTAAGCACTGTGTGAGGATTATTTAAGGCAACGTGCGGGAAAATGCTGCAGAAACGAATAACCCCGCCCCTTTGTTTTTCAGATAACCTTCTCACTATGTGGGGAACAGCTAAGATGGCGTTCCACTAAACCAGGGCAGAGATTGCAGCACAGCCAGCAAGACGACACCAGATCTTCTTCTGAATCTATACTGGGATAAAATTACATTATCTTCTTCTACACTGCTCGTCGTTTTGACAAGAAAACAGCAAAAGTACAAGGGGAATCCTCCTGTCAGTCTTCTATTCTGGCCCTTGACCTTTAGCTCTCACTATGACCAGTCTGGTAGGGAAGCTAGACCCCCGCAGGGTACAATGGCGCTCGACGTGGAACACCTTCACGTCCCGCGTCCTGAGGACCAAACCTGTGGAGTCCATGTTGGATTCGGCCGTATCGGGCACCAGCTCACACGGGACCAGGCTGGCGCGGGTCTTGTCTACGGTGGACCTGGTGTCGCTGGGCGTGGGCAGCTGCGTCGGGACGGGGATGTATGTGGTCTCGGGGCTGGTCGCCAAGGAGATGGCCGGCCCGGGGGTCATTGTGTCCTTCATCATTGCCGCTGTGGCCTCCATACTGTCAGGTGAGACGTGAGCAAATGCACACAGTGAAGACTGCTGTTAAACAAACTTTTACACACACACACACACACACACACACACACACACACACACACGTGCACGCCGTATGAAGGTTACTGTCACACTTATCCTCATTACAGTGATTCAGTATAATTTATCCATGCATCTAGAACAAGGGCAAAGACAATGCGAGCAAGCTGTAATACAAAAGGCCCTCGGGGGATATTTGAGTACTACTTTCATGCACCTGTCAATAGTTCAACTCAGCCTTTTCACACATGACTCATGACTGCAGTCATAGCATTGTTGTGAATGCGTGTCAGCATCTGTCTCTCCCCTCGTCCCACAGGAGTGTGTTATGCAGAGTTTGGCGTGCGGGTGCCTAAGACCACGGGTTCAGCCTACACGTACAGCTACGTGACGGTGGGGGAGTGTGTGGCGTTTTTCATCGGCTGGAACTTGATTCTGGAGTACCTGATCGGAACGGCGGCGGGGGCGTCGGCTCTCAGCAGCATGGCTGACTCACTTGCCAATCACAGCATCAGCAACTTTATGATTTCACACATTGGAACGCTCAGGGGCTTGGGTGAGTGGGAAAGAAGGTGTGACTGAGGCAGCTGCACTTTTACTTTGACAATCTTTTTTTTTTTTTTTTTTGAGTTTTAGTTCCAGGATTTGGGATATCATGAGATGTAGGTCTCAGATTTTAGTTGCTTTCGTCAGTAATACAGTAGCGGTTGTTTTAGGAACTCGTACTGTTTCATAATAGAAAGTCAGCATGTGAAGAAAAGAACCGAACACAAAGTTTCCTGTGTTCCCTGCTGGGGACATACACTCACACAGCTGACATATAGCGTGTGGGCAGTTTGTAGCCATTAGAAGGTCTTTCTTTTAACATGGGAAAGAAGGATCTCGACACATTATTCTGTACGCAATGGAATCGGAATCAGAGACTTTTACTCCATTTCCTCCACTTCTATCTGCAGCTTATCATCTATCAGATAAAGCCGGGATTGCATTAAAACTTCTGATCAGACATTCACCAGAGTGACCTCTTTGGAGAAAGGATCTGTTTTTCTCCCCCTGCCTCCAAAACAGGGTCAGAGATGGTTCTTGATCAAATACTTACCTGCTTACTTAACTGGATTGACAATCTGTTGACCCTCAAGAATCCAATTGAATGAACTCTTTTCTTTGACGAGGGTCCGTATTCTTGCAATAATGGTTCTATTGCTTGTCCTCAGTGTCATAAAATGGGTTTTTAACATGTAACAGAAGCACACGGCCATTTATTTCCGTCCTGCATTTGGCTCGCTGCCTGATTTTATGAAAAAAAATGAACATCATCCGGGAAATGATCCATGCAGTACAAGATTATTTTATTTCCATGCAGCATCGAAAGGACGTTTCACGGCTTAGACTGGAAATCATGTCTTTCTGGAAAGCAAGGGCGGACGTAGCATCTTCGATTTCTAAACGACCCACCCAAACAGTTTCCAGGTCCTAAACCGAACCATGGGGGGAACGCCTGCTAATGTGGCGTAACACTATATCGGCTTTGTCAGTCTGTCTGGGCGACGCCGCCCTGACAGTCTCTTCCTGTTGGACACTGTCATGACATGATTAGCAGCGTGGCCCGCTGTGCCGCGCCATAATAGAAAGTGGATCTTCCTGCTGGAGATTAATGTCTGTTTCTCCACACCGAAGGGAAAGTGTAGAATTTAGCTCAAAATATGTCTCATTAGTTTCTGTCTCTAAACTAATGAGACCTGTGTTCCTGTGCACGTTAAAGTGCATTCAATGGGATTTGTTAGAGTGGTTTGCTCAACCTGACTAAAACAGTTATGTCGAGGTTGCAAAACATGTATATTTAGTTTTGACAATGCAAAGAACACATTCTTAGAAACTCTTTTGGCAAGATGACCTGACAACTAACTTTTAAAATACAAGAATAAGAATATTATGTGTTTGTTAAGTAGAAAAACATACAAATGGAACAAGGTTCAAACTATCTTGACATTTTTAAATAAAAAGTCATAATCAGACTTTTCAGGCTAAACAGAGATGTTGAAATTAGCTCAAAAGTGTGATGTGTTTCACATACACATATTCAAGATATATTCAAGGTACATTGAAAACAAATTCCCTCTGTCTAACTAAAATGTAAAAAGTCTTCTAAAAAGTGACTTTATCTTGTATCCATAATTCTTTAGTATGATATATTTATACATAGAAGTATAGAAGCAGTTCAACAAATAGTTTTGCACTGGTCTACTTAGTATGACGCTTGAATTTGCTCTTAATTGTGCGCAAAAAAACCATCAACACAAAATATCAACACAACTCCAACTCCAACTAACTAACTGAGCAGCTGCATCATCTGACAAAAGGAACGCAACAAACTGTGTTGGAAACGAGCCTTCACACTGTTTTTCGCCCCTGAGGTGCTTGGATTTCACAGTGTAAAATGTGAATGACCACAACATGTGTGCGCCACACCTGTAGGTAAGGGGGAGCAGTCGTACCCGGACCTGCTGGCGCTGCTGATTGCGCTGCTGGTGACGGTCATCGTTGCTTTGGGAGTGAAAAACTCTGTGGGCTTCAACAACGTGCTGAACGTCATCAACCTCATGGTGTGGGTCTTCATGATGATCGCTGGGCTGTTCTTCGTCAACGGGGAGAACTGGGACGATGGCAGATTCCTGCCTTTTGGCTGGTCGGGGGTAGGCACCCACACACACACACACACACACACACACGCACCTGTTGATACCTGATCTGCTGTATCTTTACGTAAATCCCCCTTCTGCTGTGTTCCAGGTGATGCAGGGAGCAGCCACCTGCTTCTATGCCTTCATTGGATTTGACATAATTGCGACAACAGGAGAGGAGGCCAAGAGTCCCAACACCTCCATCCCCTACGCCATCACTGCCTCGCTCATCACCTGCCTCACTGCATATGTCTCTGTGAGTTTAACCACCAAGACCACAGACATACGGCACAATATATGTACACAAACAGGAATGGTTATGGCGTCATTTGTTTCCCTTTGGAAGCGTTCCGTAGCACGACACTGCTAAACACTGCGGCTGCTACACACAGTTTTCATGGCTGGTTTGAATGTTTTTGGCATGCAAAGTGTGGTAATGAGATTAAGGTATAAAATATCATTTTTATTTCAATGATGATGATATAAATATGATAACATCGATTGACGGAAGACAGCAGGCTGCATGTCACAGTTTGAATTCATCGGCCGTAGAAACACAATTTAATCACTAATTAAGAGTAAGAACTGCCATTCAGTATAACTTCTGGTCCTTTTGTGTCTAAGATCAATATTTGCTTGTAGATTCCTTCTCCTTTATCTTCATGTGTTATCTTTAGCGCTGCCTTCGAGGTCTTATCAACATTTGTGAATACAGACTGAGTGTGTTACCCTTAAAATATTCAGCTCGCTCGACCTACCAGATTTCTGACTTTGACACTTTTGTGCTGGATGGTTGTTGCTATGGGTACAGTCTAAAAGTGGCCTATCAGGAGGGTGAGTTTTCGACATTGCCTTGGGCCAAAGCTTGCACCAACTTAAAAAAAAGCACTTTAAAAAACTCGTCTTTCTCTTTCTCTACCAGTCGCATATATTTCTCCAAATAAACCTTCTCCTTTTCATCTATTTTCTTGGCTTCTCTTAATCTCCATCTGCCTTCGAGCTGTCTCACTGTCAGAGAATGAGAAAGTGTAACTTCAAACGCGTTTAACCAAATGAGACCTTCATTCAGTGCTCCCATGCTTCGAATCCATGCTCTTAAGTGGACATTAGTACATCATATTTTCCTAAGGTTGGAAGTGACGTTGGTGCTTCCGGGAAACCCCTCATTCCCGGTGGGGAGCAACATCAATGTGAAGCGGAGTGAGCTGACCGCAGACTTAAATGAGGCATTGATTGCTATTCAAACATGTTGAACCGGGATTTGTTTTAGGATTCCCTCTAGATTAGTCCAGGCTGCTTTGACTCCTTCCCACACACTGTCGAATGTCCACCACGCAGTGTGCAGAAGGGGTTAGAGGCCACCAGGCTACTCCAGCAGGAGGAAAATGATCTATATAAATTCCTCTCTGGGATGTTGAGCCCTTTTTATTTCCGGTTCTTCTCTTTTTCTAAAATCTGTTCAAGCAAATCCCTTTCGCTTTCGCAGCGCAGTGCCCGGGACAGATGGCACTGCATGACTTCACACGTCAGGCGCCAGGTCAAAATTACGCACACACACGCATACAGACACAAAGGGAGAGAAGCATTGCTAACGAACACAGCAACGTGTGAAGCCAGTCTGTAAGAATATAGCTCAGAGGCTCATCAGATAGTCTGCGAGGCCCATTGGAATAGCGTTTAAGTTTTGCACGCTTCCTGTCCTTTCTAAAAGCAGGAATTTCAAAATAAATTTCTAACCCTGGATCCATTTGGTAACTTTGCTTGAGCTTCAATCACGTCACATGTACTTTGTCAGCTTTCTTTGAGGTTTTGGACCTGCATCTGCCACAGGCTACACAAAGTGGCCTTAAATGAAGCTACACAAATATGTTCTTTTCACTGAAAATAAAAGATTACCGTTCACCTGAGAGCACATTTGTTGACTAGCTCCTCTCTACAGAAACGTTGCCATATTTCTTCTGAATGCCTTTTGATACTCTGATTGCATAAAGACTATTTATTTAATAACACTCTTTCTATCCAACTCTCTTGCCTCCAGGTTTCTGTGATCCTGACTCTCATGGTGCCGTACAATGAGATTGACGCAGACGCCCCGCTCATGGAGATGTTTGCCGTGCATGGCTGTATGTTTGCCAAGTACATCGTGGCGGTGGGCTCCATAGCTGGACTCACTGTATCCCTTCTGGGGTCCCTGTTCCCCTTGCCCAGGGTCATCTATGCCATGGCGGGGGACGGCCTGCTGTTTAAGTAAGTCCACGCAGTTATTCAGCGCTCATTATTTTTCATGTCAATACAAAGGACGCGTGTGACTGAGTCTCAGTCTTTGTGTGTGTGTGTGTGTTTAGGTTCCTGGCCAACGTGTCTTCCTACACAGAGACCCCGGCGGTTGCCTGTGTGGTGTCGGGCTTTCTGGCGGCCCTCCTGTCCCTCCTCGTAAGTCTCAGAGACCTCATAGAGATGATGTCCATAGGAACCCTGCTGGCCTACACCCTGGTGAGTTGATAATGATGACGTACACTATATTGACCGTTTGGTTGCATGGAGGGTTTGTGTAACCATAGACCAGAGATTCTATTTTTAGCTCAATATATTTGTAAGAGATTTATTCCTATTTATTTCCTTCAGATTGGGCCCAAAAGAATCTGCTTTTTGACAGAGCTTTCAATTAATGTGCACTGCAACAGGGAATGCAGGGGAAACTAATCCCCTCCTACACAGGAATCATACAGAATTATGCAATAGCAGTAAAGGTACACCAACATTAGGTCTTTGCTGCCAATCAGCTAAGATACCAATTAATGAGTCAATAAGCTCTTATCAGTCGAATTAAAGACAGATCAAATGAATAAGTGGATCCGAAGGAAATCACGTATTTGTGACGATTGTGTCTTTCTGCTGTACCCCTCCGTGCTCTGCAGGTCAGCCTGTGTGTGCTGCTCCTGCGTTACCAACCTGAGGGCGACATCCACGGCTTCGTGAACTTCCTCTCCGAGGAGCAGAACAACAAAAGAAAAGAGGGCGTCCTGGCCGAGTGCGAGAAGGACGCCTGTTCACCAACCAGCGAAGCCGATGAGTACGGAGGTCCGGCCACCAACACCTGCGGAGCCAAGAACCTGCCGTCGCTGGGCGACAACGAGATGCTGATAGGCAAACCCGATAAAAACACTTACACCGCCGGCCACCCGAACTACGGCACGGTGGATATGACCACCGGCATCGAAGCGGAGGAGTCAGAGGGCGGGGTGTCCCGGCGGTTGAAGAAGCTCATTGGACCACGCTACTACACCTTGAGGATCCGACTGGGCCTGCCGGGAAAGATGGACAGGCCAACCCCAGCCACGGGGAAAACCGTCACCGTGTGTGTGCTGCTCCTCTTCATTTCTATCTTCGCTTTCTGCTCCTTCATCATTTTTGGTGAGGCACCAAGTGGACACGTTCAAACACGTATTTCCTGCACAACGTAACCAGAAATGAATTGTTTCCTTTGTGTTTCTTGTTTCCGCAGGCGCGAGCAGCATTGGGGAGGGTCGCTGGTGGGCCTTGCTGCTCTTAATCTTCTTCATCATCTTCCTTGCCTTGCTCGTCATCATCATCCTCCAGCAGCCAGAGAATCCCAAGCGGCTGCCCTACATGGCGCCCTGTGTGCCCTTCGTACCGGCTTCAGCCATGCTGGTCAACATCTACCTCATGCTTAAACTGTCTGCCATCACATGGATACGATTCTCTATCTGGTGTTTCTTGGGTAAGCCACCACCTCAATTATATATAGTTTGTCCTGCATTGGGTTTTGTGTATTTTTTTGTCTGGGTCTTTAGACGGGATTTGTGACATTGTGATCAATGTCCTCCCAGACAGATGAGAAATGTTTCAGGGATGAATTTCATTACCGTTAAAATGACAGATTTTGTATTGTCTCTGTGAGTCAGTCTAAATGAATGTGGGTCTCTCATAGCAGGTGTTTGTTTTTTGTATTTATAGAAACGGGAAGTCTCAGTTTTACTATATTGTACATCTGTGTTTAAATGCGCTGAGCATCTAGTTCTATCTTACCTTTGCGTCACTTCTTTTTCATTTTTTCCAACGTCCAGCAGAGCTGTTTTTGCTCATCCACAAACACTAGTGGGCATCTGGACATTTTTACACTTTGTGAGTGGGAGCCAGTTTTCTTCTGACTCAGAGTGGGATGAATCGTTTTTAAGATGACAGCTTTTACAACTAGTTCTTGAGCTCAGCACAGTACGCATTGGCTATGCATTTGTTTACGGCGATATTGTCCCTCCAGGTGTTCTCATCTATTTCGGCTATGGCATGTGGCACAGTACGCTGGAGATCACGGCCAGAGAGAACGAGGTGCACGCCTCCACCTACCAGCGCTATGATCAAGGTGTGGACGAAGGATTTTGCGGCTTCGACAACGACTTCGACCCACCCACCGCCGACCCCTGGGGCGCGCCGGGTGGAGGATCGGGACCCACCAAGCCCCCTGCGGCGAAACCCGAAAGTGACGGGGCGCCAACAAAAGGTGCAGGCAGGACCGTGGCCAATCACGGGCTGGCGGAGGAGGATCCGATGGATCTCTGAAGGGACTGACTCTGTGTTATCCTGAATGTACTGCCTTGTCTGCTGCCTGGGGAATGGGAGGGGAACAATAGTGTGCGCGCATGAGTGATTGTGCGTGAGCGTGCCAGTGTGTGTGCATGCTTGCATGTATGTGTGTGTGTGTGTTTGTGTGTACTTGTCTGTTCGTATAACCCTTGGGCTAGATTTTGATCCACCTAACTGTACCGAGCTCAGCTCCCCAGCTCACACGGGACAAAACAAGGACGTCAAGGTCAAGTGTCTAGTCACCGTCACTTGTTATTCACTCACCGGAGGCCACATCTCCCCCAAATAAAGACCAGATAGAAAAGTGCGGACATAGCAGGAGGTAAAATTGGATCTGGCTTGCATTCCGTGTAAACCATGAGACTTTGTTTCTTGAGCAATCCATCAACTGTTTATCTAAGAATTTACGGGATATAGGAGGGGAGGGGCGGTGATGAGCAAAATACAGACGAATCAGCACCTCTCATCCTGTTTCACCGCAGACAGATGGGAAAGTTAGATGACAGCATGCCAAACCCGAGCTGTTTCCTATGTGCACTTCTCTGCTCATTTTCTTTTCTGCAGACAGGAAATATGCAGCTTTGTGCTCAAAAAGACAAGAAACCTATTTATATTAAAAAATGGCGTTCTCTTTAAAACCTAACACTCGCTTCTAAAATCTAGCCCAAGGGATCCAGGACTGCATTGGGAAAGGGTTGTTGATGTTTTATGTCACAAATAGTACTTGGACTTTGCTTGCAATAGTGCCTTGATCTACTGTATGTGTATGTGAGTTATTGATTATGTCTATTTTCTACTTTAATTTGGCTTGTGTGTGTGTTTAAGGATGTATATGCAATCAAACACCCTCTTTTAAACGGATACATGTGTCCGTATGTGTGTGTGTAGATATAAAGTGTGTTCTTCAGGTTGTTTTATTGTGTATTTGTATATAGATTTGTTTGGTTTTTACCCCAGCATGAAGCTCAAAAACAATCCGCCCGCAACAAAGCCACCCACGGTTCAAGGTGACACATGCTAGTCCCCCCATCAGTGCACCCAAAACAGAGGAGGTAGTGGACAGAGAGTGAGAGAGAACAGGTTGGATCTTAATTGTCCACCTACCTGGTTTATTGTGATGAAAGACATGGTTTCTGTGTGCTCGTATCTTTTTTTCGTTTTTTTCTGACGAAATGGTTGGGATTTAATATTTTAATTTTGCTTAGCAAACCAACTAATTAGTTACTTGTTAATTATTAATATATTTTTTAAAGATATTGGACGAGCTTATTTCAGTTTTTGTGGTTGAACCGTCCAAATGAAGCATTAATAATACTGTGGATGGCTGTGGCTTTCAACCTCCCTCTGCACACCAACAACTGTGTTGTTAATAAGTTAGGGTTTAACTCATACACTGTGTGAAATGAAGTATGATCCCTCCTCTTCCATATACCTCCTTTTCTCCCCTCTTTTACCTCATCTTTCTCTTTTCTTCTTCTATCCTCTACTTCCACCGACAATACATCAGCTTCGATTTCGTCTCCTCACAGAGGTTCTGCTCAGACCAGAGCCCGGTCTGGTCCAGTCACCCTCCCTGTTGCCCACATGCCTCTTTACGCAGCTACTGTTGAAGCCCCACTCTTTACATGTCATCTACAGTGTTGCTGCAACCTAAGAACATTTTGTGAAAATCTATCAAATCAATCAATCCGGGAAGCTAATGCTGCCGCGGGTCGGAGGGTTGATTCTGTAGAAGAATGTATGCACTCATGTCCCTATAAGGGATTTTGGCACACACCAAATAAACACTGTTATGTTATTATGTTTAGGGTGGGAACACTTCTACAATAGCTGCTGCTGAATGCCCTGAATGCCCTGATTGTCCTGTACCCTTCCCTCCTGCCCCCCTGCTGCTGCATCAGTCCCTTCCTGGGAAGCCTTATTTGTCTAATGCACTAAATCTAAAGACGCCACGCTAAACCCCAACCCTCCCTCCCCTCCTCCCACATTTTTCCAACTCCGTCATGTAGTGATGACCCTTTGGTGTCATTAGGTAAAATGATTTTGATACCGTCCCAAAACACGGCCCAATGTTCTGAGAAATTGCGCTCATATTGGACAATTCTGCATCTCGCTGATGCAGTAAGTTGCTAACTTTGTCTTTTCTGGAAACCTGGGTGATGCAATAAGAAATTGTTTTACTTACGGTGTATATCTTACAAGCTGACTCCAGTATTTGTAAACTCAATATATTTCAATTTGAAAACCCTTGCAAAATAAACATTTATGGAAAATATCTCAAGAATAAAGTACAGATTTTTATTTTAGTTGAAGTTTTCCTTCAAGCGTTGCATAGTAAGCCATCTAACATGGAGGAAGGTATTCCAATGTGAATGTAGAATATGTTTGGCACAAAGAAAAACAAAGCTCAGTGTTGGAGGAATTAATGATAGCCAATAGCGTAAAGGACAGTACAGTTACAGTTGCCCTGTATGGGCGGCTTAGAAATACAATACAAATAAAAAATGTGTTGCCATTGCAGCCTTTGCGGAATTGTCCAATTCCAGTGTTCTTTCTGGACCAAAACAGCACATCCTAAACCATTTGCACTTTCACAGATATCCACTTATATTCCATTGTATAGCCACACAGCCAAAAAAACCCTCACCCCAGATCCGCCAAAACAATCCTGCCGTTTTGCATTTAAAGCTCAATAACAAGGCTGCGGCTTCAGACGTTGCCACTCTGACACTGGACTGTACAGTCAACGTACTATATTATATGCTCTGTATGCACACAAGTGCGTGTGTGTGTGTGTGTGTGTGTGTCCATGCCTGCGCCTCATTGTGACCGTCTGGTGAGTGTGTTGCATGCCCTCATGCACGAGGCCCAGACTGTAAATGCTGTACGTGCATGTGGCTTAGTTCTTGTACCCGGGAACGCACGTGTGAACTGGGCTCTATTTGAGAAAGGAGCAGAACATTCAGCAACATCCTCCCTTGTCTTGCCTGAACCACTTCTGGTACGCGTGCCGCCTGTACATCCCTACTCTAAGACGCGACCTCCGCCAGCCAAAGTCTACGAGTTTTGTTTACTTTCACACACAGGAGGCCGTAGTTTCTTCACGACAGAGCCGACCATTTTTCTTGGAAGTCTTCTAACGTCGGTTCACCCCAAGGAGATCCTTTTCTTTTCTCACAGTGGCTTTAGGCAACAGTGCAAAAATCATTTTTATGAAATCCAAGTATTTCATAGAAATGATTACTCTAGAAGTCATTGATTACAGCAGATCAGTGAGTCCAGCAGTGAGAAAGTGCAACATTGAAAAACAAAAGTATTTTTCTATAGCCGTTTCCCAACCACAGGTCCTCCATAGGTGGTTATCAATCTTCACTTTCTGTGTTATTGTTTAATCACATGGAGGCCTGGGAGAAACTGCTAAAATATATTTTTAACAACTGTAGTCTCTAGAGTGAAAACACTCATTTATAAAACGTGATCCTTTCCTTTGAAGGATTTCAAAATTGATGCTGTAGACGTCGAAAGGGCCGTAGAAGGTTTAGCGGTAGAACACATGCAGAAGCTATTTTAATACAATTCTAGAAAAGGCTGAGCGACAAGCGTAATCAAATATTGCCACTATTGCTTTTAAGGTCAGTTACAGTTTGTTCATTGGGGCGTGTTGTTCCTGTGCTCTGTGTGCGCTGCAGCCAAGTGTCCAGTCAGTGTGCGTCTGACTTGTTGAAGTTGGCTTCTCTCGCAAACAAAAAGATATTCCTTTTTCTCTTCTGTATATTTTGGCACAAAGCTGTATATCGTAGTTGTTTTTTTATGTTGATTTTGTAACGGTTCCTTATGTGTGTGGTTATTTTGCTCCTGTGCACCGTTTCTTGCTAAGTTTGTTGATATTGTTTCCATGCAACAATGAAAGCTATTTATTGCAAATACAAGAGGCTTGCTCATTTTTTAAGTGTCCTGCTCTGACTATACTACTACATTGAATGACGTACATCAGGTCCAGGGACATTTGAACATTTAACAAGAAACACACAGTAATGCAGACTGTGCTGCTATGTATATAATATGTATTACATATTTACCTGGAAAAGGGGCCCAGATGTTTAGTGGTTTCATGTAGAGCGTTTCACGTGTGGAGCTGATGAGCTATGTAGTAGCCAAAGATCCTGCCTCAGTACTGTAGTGGTACTGCTTCCTTTTAACATTATCCCAGCACAGTTAGTGGAGTCTCCCATGCAGAGCCAGAGAGCTGATGCGTCCTCACGATGAGTTCTGCCACCAGCAGTGTAGCTTCAATAAACCAGATCACAACTCGACTGTAACTCACTGTATTGCTCTGACATTATAGCTGAGATTCTACTGTGCAGAAACATACACATAAGTAAAGGGGTGATGGGTTTATCTCTAACAGGTAGAAATAACATGTTGATGCACTTGAGAGGTAAAAAACACAATTCATTAAGGAAATAATTTGCAAGAAAGGGAATATCATAGTGTATTACTATTGCTTTATGACGATGTCCTGGAGCAGAGATATTCAATAGGTCAATAATGAAGTGATTTTATTTGATAAAGAAGTTGTATCCTATCATACGGTAACACTTCCAGTCTCTCACAGCTTTACAGGACAGCTCGCTTGTTTGCTTTTCTCCCGCTGGCCACCTGTGAACTGGACAGCTTTGGCCTGCAATCACATTTCACAGAATGATCTCACACAGTTGCAGCACACACAGATGTGTGAGGAAACACACAGAATGACAGAATGATGTGTCAAAACAAGGACATATCGCTGTGTGTTTGAAGATAAGCTGAGAACAATGAGATGGCATCTGCTGTTTCCAAAGTCTCATGTAGGGCTTTGTGACCTTGTGAGGAGAGGAGGAGCACACAGACAGACACACACTGGACACAATTATACTTCTTTGTTGCATATTGTGTGTGTTTCAGACAGGATGCTGTGTGCCGAACTAAGTCAAGGTCACCGTGTCCAATTACAGATATGACGCATTAAAAACAATTCGTGTTTTCTCACTGTTCTCAGGTTATATTAACACAAACATAGAAACATTTCCCACATTCACATTACGATATTTATATCAGAAACAATGTGACAATCAACTTATTCTGGGCGTAGATGATTGTATCCTTCAACCGTCTTAAGCCTTCCTTCCAGATGGAATAAAAGAAAGTGGGAAAGTTGTATTGACTTGAGACAAAAGCACTTTTCCTTATTTGGTCTTTATTACAGGAAATCAAACAACCGCACATCAGTAAAACAATAAATAACCAGCTAATATTGCCTCTGCAGAGATCCGAGTTGGAAATTTTCATTGGTGTTCAGAGATCTTTTGAGATATTAAACATTCAAGTCATCGCATTACTGTAAGGTGAAAGTAAACTAAATAATATTTTTTCTATGCGAGCTTGTAGAAACTTTAGCTACATACTTGATGCATGTGAGGAACTGAGACTAAGATGTTTGAAGGAAATGTATTATTAAGGAAAAGCCGCATAAAGTTAGTAGCATAAAAGATGTTTGTAGTACGAAATGTTACTATTGGATGAGTGAGAAACACAAGATAAAATCATTGCCAAGTCATTGCCTCTTGAATTCAGGCCATAACACTGCTGATTAAAGCTCCCTATTGAAATTTATGTTCACGTTATCCGGCAGTGGCTGGAAAAACAATGCTGCATTTTTTAATTGAGTCCATCACTCAAGAAGCAAATGTTCCAGTTAAACAATACTGTAGTAAGTAAAAACCAATGTACATAAACAATGTTAATGAACATAATTCAAAACATATTAATGTCACACCCTGCTCTAAGACACGGTGGATCTAAATAGAAAAATAGAAGTTATATAAAAAATCAGTCCACAAGGCCTCAGGTGATTGTGACCTCAGGATGCTTTTGCAGCCAGGTACTTAGAACCGTGCACAAATACGTAACAGCAAGTTCCCACTAAGCACAACTCAGCTCTGTGATTCAAAACAATCCACGGGCGGCAAAAAAACCGCCCTCAACAGTCTTTGTTTATTTGGATGTGAAAGTCTCTTTCGGTGTGTTTGGGTGCTCGTTCAAGGACTTGTGTATTTTTCTTGAAGCTGAATGAATGTGTTTATGTTCCTCCCTGTCTTCCAGTATAGCTTTGCATGTAAATGGGATTGGATGTGAGTGGTAGTGTGTATGTCCTCATGTACTGGTTACAGTTCCGCACACGTCTGCTCCAGAAGCTTAGACGTGGGCGCTCTTGGCGTGATTGGTGGAGGGGGCTGCTGGCGGGTTCCCACCCCCCTGTTTGGAGTAGTAGTATCGATTGTTGTCCTGGTAGGAGCGGGACGAGGAGGACTCTGAGGAGCAGCAGGTGAGAATGCACCCGCCCAGCAGGCAGAAGATGCTGCCAAACCATCCAGTGTAGAGGGAGAAGCCGAACGACATGAGGCCGTGCTCCTGGTAGGCGCCGATGGGAAACCAGACTGTAGACACCATGCCGCACAGTGCTGAGGAGAAGCAGACGCCGTAGTTCAATTTGGGATTATAAAACGGTGCCAATGAAAGCAACACATTGTATACATGCATAAAGTTTACTTTTAAACAAAACTGAAAAGAAAACAGATTCAAAGTGCAATCAAACTGGGATTTGACTTATTGTATTACTGCACAGCGTTAAACTGGCAAATTTTAAATGATAAAACTGTGGATGCACAATGTAGTGTAAATGAGAGCAACAAGCTATGTGAAACAGATGGAATCTAAAGTAAACTAAGCTGGGGATGTAAAATGCTGCGAAGGAGTTAAAGAAAAAAACACAATAACTACGTTCCAATACATTGAAAGAAAGACCTTGAAAGAGAAGATAACTCAAGATACGAGCCTCCGAGTGGTGCACGTAGATCCTTCCTATACATACGCAGGGCGGCCAAAAAGACAGGTAACCAAAAATATAAACGCAGACGAAAACACAAATTCTTAATAATGAGCATTACCAAGACTAGAGGAAAGGCTAAATGCTGCACAGTGTCAGTAGAACTATGACAGTTTTTACATTATTCATTGCTCAACAGGACAGAAATAGACGACAGACTGGAAGAAAGAATGTGTGGAATAATATTATTTAGTAGCACGGCTTAATGGTGTTCTATAAACTACGCCTTGAGCTGTAGAAGAGAGGCTTGTTCTAAGACTTACACAAATATCTAAATCCTTATACCGCTGACTAAGACATGAAGTATATTTTGGGTTTGTGCCAGTAGACGCTTGAAGTTAACACAGAACTGCGTGAAATTTTTGCCTGCCTGCGTGATATAAATACATTGCACCAGAAAGCCGATAACCAAATCCACAAGTAATTTGTGGACTGAACGTCTCCCGGCTGGTGCTTCAGAGTACACAATTGAGCAGAATAATTAAACTTGGTCTTAAACTAATTGGCGCTTGGTAAATTGTACTGTCTGTATGCACGCATTGTGGGGAGATGATTGTTATTCTGCTGTGCAACAAGCTTGCAAATACCACATCAAATGCAAAATTGAAAATCCATTAACTCAAGGGTTTAACTATTTCATATGGAATGTTGGGAAAGGTTTTGCTGTAAAAAAACGTGGGCAGTGGGGAAGTCAAACGATGGACACAGGTGTTAAAGGGTGTTATTTTTCATAAGCACAACTGAACACATCGGGGAGTGAGTTTCCGTGTCGTTCAGGACGAACAGAGGGTGTGGATGAGAGTAGGCGGAGGAGAGGAATGTGATGGGAACTGGTGGGCAGGGGTCAGAGTGTGTGCATGTGTGTGCACCCTCGGGAGGAAGACAATCACATCCAACACCCTGCGATCTCAGCAGCTGGTGTGTGTGTGTGTGCACGTAGGCTCAAAACAGTTGGACCGCCTCTCATTGACCTTACCGCTTTTCCGTTCAGGACTTCCCGTCTTCTCCTAGACTAATTCATTACAGCCGCATTTGAGCGCATGAGATAAAGTGGACGTCTCTTACCGACTACGAGAATGAGCACTCCTCCCAAGACAGTGCGTTTGTTCTTGGGGCCTTGGGGTTCATTGCCAAAGTTGATGCAGGGCATGGACATGAGAATCATCGCCACTGCCGGGAGACCGAGGATGGAACCTGCGATCATCAGGGCACGAGTTGTCTGGATGTAGGCTTCACAGGCACATGTGGAACAAACATGGTATCAATGCCAAAAAACAGACCTTCTCAGATTTAACACAACACAACCCTGATCAGGAGACGTGGTGGAAATAGCATCTTGTAAATAAATTGCACGATATCTATTGTGATAAGAACAACGGCGGTAATGTAGGGAAGTACGCAGAACAGTACCTGGGAGATCCAGGATCTGCGATCGGGAGAAACAGTGGTAGAGGCCTGTGGAGATGACACATTCCGCCCAGGGTCCTTTGGTTTCAAGCTCATCCGTCTTCTTGCATGTGTTCAAGCTGTATTTGCACATAATCACCCAGTCATTGGTGGATATCGCGATCACGATGCCCAGCCAGCCAAGGAAGCTAATGAGGAAGCCGCTCAGTTGAAGGCACGAGTTTGCCATGGTGCAAACTGCGTAACGACCACTGATCTCAGGTCCAGAAACTGTTACAAACCTCAACACTTCAGTTGAGAGTGATTAACAAATATGGACCAACTTCAATTCTAAAACTTATATTCCACTTTACAAGTTAATCCAGTGCCAAGGTTTGTTTTCTCTCCTTGCAATTTCGTACGTCCATCAATTGGGCTGGGCTGCACAATACAAAAGAATGAAGCTTTCACATCATCACAAGTTTTATAGGGAAAGTTCAGAAAGGGGGCAGACTACTCTAAAGATGAAAACCAATAGGAAACCTGGATACGGACAAAAAAAAGTAGACCAGGAGAAAACAACACAACCCACTTTTAACTCTACCCTTTTCTTGCTGAAATACAACCCATTCAGGGTTTACTGACTGAGTTTGAATCTGGTCAAATTTAACCAAAAAGCTGCTGCCATCTGCTGGCTGGATTGTATTTCACACACTACACACGTCTGACGTACGCATATTTTCCACAAAATACTTTGGAGCCCTAAACAAGAACCTTTTGTGTTTGTGTTTGTGTTTGTGTGTTTGTTTCTAACGTCATGAATAACCTTTTATAGATGTACACATATTCTTTTCGGTGAATTCAGTCAGTCAGTTAGTGGCTTATTCCCATTTATAGCTGTGGTTGCTTTCCTGGTCCCTAAAAGCCACTTTGTGGAATCACTGCTCTATATAATCCAAACGATCAACAGAGGGCGACATTGCATAGCAATGGCCTACGTTTAACAACCAAGTGTAATGGACATAACGTTTCCTTCTTCCTCTCCTTGCGGGTTGGAGGTAAGGTGCATCGGTCCAGCGATGGAACAGACCTTTCAGATGTGACTAAACAATGTGACTAAAAGTAATTCAGATCGATTTGCTATGAAAACATTTGATCTGTACTCTGATCGGTACTTTTAGGTCTAATAGATAAATTTCATGGTGGCAATCTTTGCGATTTGCTCGGAGTGCCTGTATTTTTTCTTTTCATATAAATGTATTTATTTATATATGTAGTTTAAGCAGAGGCACTAAGTGCACAAAAACATAAGCAAAAGACTGCAATGTATCAGTGGGACGGAAAGCTTTAGCCAGCAGTTTTGGAGGTAATGGCACATGCATCTTGTTAATACATGCTCACTATTTACTGCAGCTGAAAGCATTCGATTGAAAATAATCAATTATGATTTTTACTCCGTTGCACTGAGTTCAGTGTAGCCTCATTATGTTTTTTTGACAGAAGATGAGTTGGATTCAAGTCAGCTGCTTCGATGGAGCACCACAGGCACTTACTGGAGTTTAGGCAATTAGAAAGCGCTAACACAAGATGTACGGGCTCCTGACACGGCTCCGGTCTGCATATACCCTCGTACCAGCCCCGACTGACACTCCAGCATGGATGATCATCATCTGTGGTCGTGTCTATTGCTTTGTTCACGTAAGCGTATGTCAACGAAATAAAAGAGAAATCAAACAAAAAAACAAAGCGAAATAATAGTTGACAGATATGTGATTATGCAGTATTTTATTCAGAGAGAGAGAGAGAAAATTCAAAACTCATTGCGATAAAAGTCATAAGACTTAGTCTGAGCATGAGCAGGGAATATTCCCCTATGATTCCCAGAGCAGTTTGTCTGATGCAAGAGGAGTGAGGCGGCAAGGGAATGGGAATATTATGCTAATGGCGGGAAGTGGGGGATTGCAACAGTGACGCTGACATGGAGGGATGATGGGATTTTAGACCTCCTGGGCTTCGAAATAGGAGGTGGCAGGGGAATGTGTGTGTGTGTGTGTGTGTGTGAAAGTCTAAAAGCTTGTGGCACGGGAGAATGAGGAAGCCAGCAGACCGCCTCCTCTCCGACCCTCCGGGCTGTCACAGCTGTCCGTCAGGCATTTGAAAGAGATGAGCGGCAATGACTCACACTCTTTGTCTCTGCAAAGCAAGAGCCAGTGGTCCGGTTCAGAGGTGGGGGCGCAGTAGAAGAGAATGTGTCACGAGTGGGGAGTTGAAAGAGAGAGAAGAAGAAGAAGGGACAGCTTACTGTGATGGAGTGGCAGCCACACTGGATGAGTCATCCAGATCCTCCGGGGAATGATCGGTACTTTTTCAAATAGTTGTCAAGTCACATTCTGTGATTAACAAGAGGAGAGGAGGATCAGTTTATGATAGAGTGCAACAGGGACGTGACTTGAACTAATGAGGTTTCTGACAACACGCTGCACGGTGGATCTGTTGAATGGGAAGAAAACAATGTCAACATGTAACGCAGAAGGAAACTTAACACCATCTGGGTTGGAAAAGTGGGGTTAAGCAGGTTGTTTCTTTTATAATACTGGTGTCTCAGCTCTTTGTGTTTCACATCATGTGAAACCAAATTAATCTCTTCCCCTCTTTCCTCCTCTTTCGTTCTTTCGTTCTCTCTTTCTCTATTAGGTCCTGGTGGGCATTCACAGCATAGTTTATAATGACAAAGCCACTTGTCAATCATTTCTCTATAAATATAATCAAAGGCTGCATATTAGAGGAATATTGGTATGTTTTTTGCTGAAATGTTTTTGAAAGAGTTATTGTCACACAGTATAGTAAAAGTAAATACTAACTCAGAGCTTTAGTGGTAAAAATATTCCATATATCTGCTCTACGCTGGTGTCTTCTGCCCAAGCTACTTCTGCGTGGCCAAGGAAGCTGTCGATCATTTCCGTGTGGGTTGAGTCAGATCCAATAGGATCAGACGATTTGAAAAAGTGGTCGAAACTGGCAAATCTTCCTGCCACAGCCAAAGCCAAGAGAAAATCCACATTTTGACTGTGCCCGTTTCTGGGCTGTGAGGCCTTCACAAACACCTCCTCTGACTCTATTAACGTTTCCGATTCTTGCCCCGGAAACTCAGCAGACTCGTAGCAGACTCTCAGAATCTCAGCAGAATCATCTTTGTAGTATTCTGGCCCCGACTCCGTCTCCCTGATTCTTCTTTTTTGGCATTGACTTCTGCACCCCAACGCTCGCCCCCGACTCTGCCTCCCCGATGCCTGCCCCCAACTCTGGCTCCCCGATTCTTGCCCCCGACAGTCCCAACTCCCCGACGCCTGACCCAGACTCCGGCTGCCCGATTCTTGCCCCCGACTCCTGCACCCCAACGCCTGCCCCCGAATCCAGTCCCGGACACCGTCTCCTCAATTTTTGCCCCCGGCTCCCCGATTCTTGCCCCCAACTCCAGTCCCGGACTCCGTCTGCTCGATTCTTGCCCCTGACTCCTGCATTTCAACGCCTGCGACCACCAAAGGGCTCAGCAGACCCGTCTTTGGAGCATTCTGCCCCCAACTCCGGCTCCCCAATTCTTCACCGCGACTCCAGTCCCGGCTCCTCAATTCTGTCACGTCATCGAATCTTGCTACTTTGATTGTCATGACCCGGTTTGTGAGTTCCGGATACCTGTCAACTTTTGATAAAAGTACCTTTATCAGTACTTCCGCCACCCCGACGTGACACGACCACCAAAGGACTCAGGAGACTCGTCTTTGGGGCAGGGATCTGATTACTTGGACGTGACAAGTGGGTTTGGCAGCACAAGTCGAACCTTGATTTTGGCCCAAAGAGCTACCAAAGAGCTTGTCTCGAGCTCTGGGACCTCCTCAACACCAGGAGGAGACATGGCAAGAGGAAGCAGCGTACCCCCGTCCCCGCTGAGGCAAGAAAAGGTGGCAACTCTTGTCTGGATTTTGCAAGCACGATTAAGACGGATTAAATTTCCATCTTCTTTCGCAACATTCATATGCAACGTTCACATCAGTTCCTTTCATAATCGAAAGCTGCTGTTCACCATCCCGGATGCAATGCCATGCTGACTTTTGCATTTTAAAAATTTGTATCACATCTTCATTTTTCAGAGGAGGAAACTTTTTAGATGATGCCCATCGTTTTTTGTGTTTTGTTCCTTTACTTAAAACTGTGGGTGCACCCCCCCCCCCCCCCCCACACACTTTATAATGGAGCTAATACTTCAGAATCAATTAAACACGAACGATAATTTTCAAGCAATTATGTGTCAAACTGTGGATGTCACAATTTGGATCAGAATCCACCAATAAAGCATCTAACGAGTGGCCAAAGTGCTGCTTTATGGTCCCGCACACATCTCTTTTGTCTCACATGCCTCTGCGGTTGACAGGACAGACTGCGCGCGTTGCTGCAGTGGAAGCCGAGTCGCAACTTGATTTGTGTCCAATTCTCCAGTGTGTGTCTGCAGTGGAGCAGCCATCACTCACCGCTAACTGCGTTAGCCATTAGTATCAATTAATCTCAACAAACACTGTTGGCCATTACGCTCAATACATCACCACAGGCCCTGCTAACTACGGAACCCGCAGAACGCAACAGTCGCACAGCCCCGTTGCACTGTGGGAGAGGATGAGAGATACGGGTGTCATTCCCCATATGGCTGAATGAGAGAAGCAGGGTTAGGAGTGGGGAAAAAGGCAGAAAGAAGCAGGGGAGGAGGGAGAAAAAGAAGGAGCTGCATAACTCAATCTGGCCCCCTGGGACTGAGGAGTGGAGCCTCTGTCAACACGGGGAGTATACTCTGGGTAATCGTAATAGTTCATTAGTGCTGGGGAGAGATTTATGTAGGGGGCATTTTGTTTTCCAAAATACATGCACTAAAACGTGTTCTTTTTCTTCCCCTATAAACGCATTTTAAACCACCCGACAGTTGGCACCTGACCACATACACTTATTCCCATTACCCCCCCTCTCTGCTCTCTTTCTCTCTCCAGCATTTCCAAACTGCTTAAATTAGCCTCCTCATCATTCTGCTCTTTATAAGCCTCCTTCTCTCCCCCTTTCTCCTCTGTTGTCACCAAGAATAGAATAATGTATTGCTCTTTACATGGTGGGCTGTGCATTATCTAATATAGGAGATGGGCAGTGAGAGAGAGAGAGAGAGAGAGAGAGAGAGAGAGAGAGAGAGAGAGAGAGAGAGAGAGCAAGGGAGTTGCCTCGTGACTTGTACATCATCTTGATGAGAGGCTCTGCAGTGCCGGGTTTAACATGGGCCATGTGTGCAAAGTGTAGTAATAGTTCACCATTTAGGGAAATACACGTATTCATTTTATATCGGGTACGAATTGTTTTATTTTAAAGGAGGATCATGCTGAACCGTACTGTACGGTCACAGCAAAACATTGAGATGCATGAGATG